ACACACACACACACACACACACACACACACACACACACACACACACAAATACAATGTAAAGCACAGAAGACATCATCATCATTATGATAAACGTGTTAAAGGCATTCCGATATGCGAGATGTAAAAATATGCCGTAATTGACAAATTTTAGGTAAATTGAAAAAAAGAGATAAAAAAAATATAATAAATTTATTTTTCTTTTAACAAATTAGGTAAATTTATTATTATTATTATTATTTTCTTTTACTTTATGCAAAACACGCGTACAAAAATAATTTGTTGGAACTAACCATTTGTCACAAACTTCATAAATAATAAGACCGTTATAATTGAGGATTTATAAAAATTTCGTAATTTTAAAATTGGTAAAAACATTTTATATGTTTATTTAATTTCTAATGTGAAAAGAAAAACAATTTTTTTGCTTCGCTTTTTTTGTTATTTTCTTGTTTTGTTTGTTTTTTGTATCCGGGCCTAAAAGTATGCTTTAAATTAATTTAATTAAAAAAATTGTTTTTGTAAAAATTTCTCGATAAATATTTTTATGTAAATATTTTCGTTTTTTATTGCGCTTTAACCGTTATAACCGTTACATTTCAACTGAGTCAACTGAGTCAACTGAAACTAAACTAAACTGACTAAACTGAAACCGAGCCGAACACCATTGAGAACAAAACTGATGACGATGCCTTTCGTTACACGGCGAAAGTAATAAAACATTATGAATCGTTTGCATTCGTGTGTGTGGCTGTATGCCCGCTATGCTTGAGTTCGTGACCCACGAGGCTTGTTTTCTTGCTTTTCTGCAGATTTTTTTTCCTTCTTTGCACATTTTATTTTTTTTTTTTTAATACTTTAACCAGAAACCGCCATCTAAACTAAGTAAATGTAGTTTTGCTACTCTTTTCATTTACCATCACTACGTTATGCTCACTTTGCTTACAATTTCTTTTTTTGTTTTTGTTTTTATTTTGCGTACACGTATGTGTAAGCGAGGGTTTCGTATTTTTATTTATATTTATAACAATATGTGGGAGTCCTTCTCCTTGCATTGGCGCCTTTAATAAATACAAATTGCAGATATTTATATATATGATAATGACATGGTGTACATACGATGTCAATGCATATATATTCGCATGCAAAATAATGTTACGCGTTCGTCTCTAAGTGTGTCATACGTCTCAGCAATGACGTGCAATTTACTATTTATATTGTTGTTGTCATAGATTTTTTGGCAAAATAACAAAGTATTTTTACTGTAGGTTGTCTTTCTTTGTCGGCTCATTTCCGGTTTCTCTTTCAAAAAGATACAAAAAGCCATGAAAATCTTTTTGTCTTTTTCGACTTTCTACGAAATGAAAAAGTTGCAAAGAAACGCAATAAAAAAATTGTTGAAACGTTGGTAAATTGTTTAGGTTTTCACTTTTGTATTGAAGCAACAATTTTTGATCATTTCAGCAAGGAATTAAACAAAAAGAAGACAAACTGTATTTATTTACAGTTTTTCTCCTCTTTCGTTTTTAAATTTCATAAGCGATTTTCTAGCGATACTGCAAAGTTTAACGGAACTAAACTACATAAACATTGCTTGTGAGTTGGCACCATTCCGGGTATTATTGACCGATGTGTTACAATTTTTTATTTTTTTTACTTTATTCTGATCATTATGTTTTCATACCAGACGCCACTTGTGAGACAAAGGTATATTAAGTTTGTTCGGATGTATGAAGCATCCAGGGGACACGTAGGGAGACTTGAGATGGACCCAACTTTACGATACCAAAATTGGCTTTGAATCAATCCAAGTTTGTCTCTACGTCCGCCCATCTGCTCGTCTTTTTTTTTTATGTTTAATCTACAGATCGCAATTTGTCGACCTATGACGAACACTATTGCGAATAGTTCATGACGGCCCCTTTGTTCGACCACTTCTCGTGTAATGCCTCATTTTGAAAAGTTGTTACACAATTATAATAACGAACTGGTGTGGGATATTTAACGACGAGTCCTAAGCCACTATCATTTTTTTTTTGCTTGTTCAAATATCGTGAACATATCCCTTGCAGTAAGTTACGTACCATATATAAAAATAAGTAAATTGCGGTTAACGTAATTTAAATTTGATTGAAAATGAAATAAAAGTTTAAATGACTTCTCAATCAATCAATACACCACATTGATAAGCAAAAACAAAACTCACTTTATATTTTGGATTACCCATACATCGCAGAACGTATAGGCTTTATTTAAACTGAACAATTCTAATAGTAGATTACGTTTCATTAACATAAACGTCGTCATTTGCATACACACATGAAAGTCAAAGCAATATAAAATATCGTAAGTTAAATACAATAGAAGGAAAATACAAAAATCATTTCCATAAAATGAAAATGCAATAAAAACACATGTAAGAAATCTACATTCAGTAGAGTCCTCGAATCTCAGATAGCCCGTACTTAGGACTAAACTCCCGTTTAATTGACTCCTCGTAAATGTTTTAACTAAATATAGTCCAACGTACGAATGTTTCATTTTATTTTTTAGGTGTGTATATGATACATCTGAACGTAAAATAAAGTCCCCATCGCTCTCTTTATGCGCTGTACTAAGTGAATCTGCTACTTCAAGTAGCACCAAGTGCTCATGAAGACGCACTCTTCTAAATAATATTAAACTTTCTAGAAAAAACCTTCTCTTAGATTTTTCTTACTAATTTTATCAATATTTAAAAATAAATAAATAAAATCGTGAATAAACCCTGCCCGATGAAGTTGGTTGCTTCATAAAAGGTATCTTCCGCTGCCAATTTTCCGAAAATTTCAGATGCAAGTAACTTGGACATTTGTCCTTTTACGGTATAAGTTTCAGTTGTTTGCAAGTTTTCGTCAGCGTAAAGACGCAGATGTCGATATCCATCATTTAAGCCAATCCATGGTATATTGCTTTAAATCGGAAAACAATGCAACTCAAGCCACGGAAATGATTAATTCGGCTTGAAGTGAAAATGCAAAAAACTATGAAGCTTTCGGAACCCACTTAGTGACATTTCGTGCAAAATATTTTAGTCTTGCGGACGACACATATTGTACGAATTCGTGGAAGATATTAAATTAAGAAATTCAATGGTTCCTGAGCAAATGTTCAGTAAAAACCTAAAAACACCTCACTGTATCGGGAAGAGACAGACGACGAAAGAGGATGGGTTCTGCATGAACGCTAAGAGAGGAGAACAAAAATCGAGGAGCTATTGCAGTCTTACATTTGTTAAGTCACTCCAGTGAGTCAGATACGTGCAACCAATTTCAATGTACATAACATATTTGCGGATCTATTAATATTAAATTTTTCAATTCCAAATTTTTTTTAAAACGTAAATCATAATATCGGACCAAGTAGACGCTGAACAAACAGAATACATAAATTTTCACAAAGATGCTAATATTAGTGAAAAACTGATTTTCAAATCTGAATGCCAATTCAAGGGTATTAATGGTCTGATCAGGAATATATCGACCTTACTGTGGCAGTTAGCTTTAAGTATAATGAGCGGAACAACGAATTTAATATACCGTTAACGTCTTAAATAATGAGCATAAAAACAAAAGACTTGCACAAGGTTATCGTAACCTATACTGAATCGCAATGAACCGAGCTGAGGTAAACTCTTCTACTTATATCGCACTGCAATAACAATAGTAAAGTCAAGGTAGTATAGCTTAAGCGAAAATACGGCTTAAGCTAATGAACCGCATTCACAAATGCTCTTATATATAAACATTTTTTCTTTTATTTCCTTTTAACGAGTGCTACAGCAACGAATAAATATTTTTTTTTTTTTTATGTTTCACTTTACCCACAAAACATTGCTGTTAGATAATCCTAACCTTTGTAAAAAAGGAATTTGAAAAATTGAATGACAAACCATAACAATTAAGTAATGCCATCATCTGCCAACTAAGTCCGATAGCTCTTGTTGGTTACACCAAAGAAAGACAAATTATCTAATAGTTAGCAAAGTCCATATTGACTTCGTATCAGGCTAAGACTGTCAGTTTCCTTTTTTGCCTTTTGTTTAGTTATTGTAGAGGTTAAAAACTTTTAGTAATGTTGTGGTTGTCTTAACAAAAAAGCTTTACATAGTTTGTAGTTGGTATTTGTTGCCATTTGTTTTAAAGTTTTAGTAAACAATTCCAACTCTCATCATTATTATCTTCGTCATTATCATTGCTTTAGAATCTTCTTTTTGCACTTAATAGCAGCTGCAATTCTATGGCAATCACAATCAGCACAGAAATCATTACTTACTTAGCAAAAGCATATATGGCATAATACTGCGTTCAAAAAATAAGGGGAATTTTTGGTTTAGAAAAAAAAAAACGCGGTTTCGAATAGCAACGTTGTGCACGAGCATTGAAAATGTTAAGAAATTGTTACTGTAATCAAAAAACGAAATGCTAGATAACGCCATCAACGCCAATCACTAATGAAAAATCAGGATCGTTGCAGTTAGCGATATATTCATCCATTTTTCTCAGCTGAATTGCATTCAGCCGATTTAAGTAACATAATCAAAATGATTAAAGGCTTAAGCTTATGACGCTATAGAAAAAAAATAGCTTTTGTAATAGCAAGCAATCATGAATCTAACTATATAACTATATAATTAACTGCTATACATTGCAATCTACGCCGTGGAGGTCAAGCCTGTGAACCCCGGATTTGCAGTCGCGACTCTTATGCCCGCGGCTATGGAATAGCCCATTGGAATTCGTGAAGATTTGGTTGAAGTAGTAATTGGGAAAAATGCAATTTTAATGAAAAATTCGTGTTTGTTCCAAAACATGAATATGTTTCGGACGACATCGTTTGAATCCGAAAGCGAAAAAAACCACGTCTCGCAATAATAAAGACCAATGCCCAGGCCTTTTTTATAGTCTGCGTGAACTGAGAGACGGAGTGAAGTCAGTAAAGAGAGAATTTGAAGATCATACCATAAAAGACGTTTTGGTTACTAAGCTAACAAAGTGAAAGACATCAAGAAAGGGTTTACACTGATATTCAATGCGTGCCTATTTTTATAAGGAAGAAATTATTATTATTATTATTGTTATTATTGTAAATTTAGCCAGAGAATAAGTTCTAAGACTGAATTCTTAAAGCACTAGCATCTTAGGCTTTATTCGGCTTTATTGACTCTTCCGCACTTGAGATTTGAATCCACAACCATTGGGCGTTGCTAGTCGAGACTCTTGTCTATACGGCCACTCAGGTGGATTTTATAAGGAAGGAACCTACAGTATATCTTTCTAAAAATCAATATTTTTGTGGATTTAAAAGATCCTTTGAGGCTTTCAGAAAAAAATCGCTGCCGGGAAGTTGCAACCTAATATCTTGTCTGTTGGTTT